GTAGAAACCGTTGTCTTTGCAGCACCAATGGATGGAGGAGGCCTAGTAGCAACTCCTTGTGATCTTCCCCCACCAATAAAGGTACCGGGCTGCTGCCGACGCCATAGGGCTGAAATTGATTGGCTCCCATAAGACCTTCTTCGTCCCTCTTGCTGAATTTTCCTCTCGGTGCACATAGCTTGGTCAACAAGGTCTTGCAAATTATGATATGGAAACATCTCAACAAAACCTGAAATTTCTTCATTGAGACCATTCAAAAATCTTGCCATTTTTTACTCTTCATCTTCCCTAATTCCAGATCTCACCAAGAGTAACTCCATCTCCTTGAAGTAGTCATCAACAGATTTTGATCCTTGTCTCAATGTTTGTAACCTATTACGGAGGTCACGATGATAGCTTGATGGCACAAAGCGTCTTCTCATCACTCTCTTCATCTCAGCCCATGTGTTGATATGGTCACGTCCCAACACACGTTGATTTTCTTGAACTTGGTTCCACCATGTGAGAGCGTAACCTAAAAACTCAACAGAAGCTAGATTGACATGCCTCTGATCAGAAAGATTATGCACTCTAAAAATCTGATCACATTGCTCCTCCCATTCAAGATAAGCATCAGCATTTTCTTTCCCTGAAAATTTTGGAACACTTAACTTTACACGAGTAATGCTATCCGGATCATCTCTATGGCGACGACCACGAGGAATTTCCCCATCATGACCAGCACCACGACGATGTTCATGTGGCTGTCCAAAATGCCCATGGTGACCAAAAGGATTTTCATTATCATCAAATCCCTCCTCATACTCATCATGAACCTCATCTTCATCATCAAAATGTACACGACGATCACGTCCACGTCCTCCTCCACGCTGATGATCAAATTCAGCACACCATCCACCACCGCGCTGATCAAAATCAGCACGAACCCTTTCACCCTGACCACCACGACCATTGCCGTTGCAGCCATGAAATCCAGCACCCAAACCAGAATTTTCATCACCAAATTCTTCACGGTGATTGTCTTCATGTTGATGTTGTGGACCTCGACCACCCCCTGCAGGGAGATGTTCGTTGAACATCCTCTCCATCGCCGCCAAGAGCGAGTTGGCCATTTGGCGTAGCTCCGCCCGTGCAACAGGGGGTTCTTCATCTCCGTGGTCCCCACCATGAACACTCGAATTAGATCCTGCCATGTGAGACTAGTTGCAAGAAAAAGTGAAATAGGTAAATTTGTGGAAAACACACAATCTCACCTCTTACTTACCCAAGTTCTTGCTCGTTCTCAAGGACCATGACGATGCTGGTGTGGCAGCTTCAACGGAGGTGGTAGAGAGGTCGTAAGGATTACGAATCGAACGTCCCGGTTCAGGTTTTGGTGGAGCTATAGGTGGCTAACAAGGAGGACTATGATACTACCAACCGAGTGATTTGATGTGCTCAAAGACACGACGTTGCTGCTAACAAGATTACCACCAACTCAAATATGTAAACTGAAATTTTCAGCAATACACCGCAACACAGATCCTTCAACTTCTTTTCACTTCTCCTTTTTTTTGAAACTAATCCTTTTTTATCCTCTCTTTTTTTATAACACTGACAACGGTAACGAACGAAACAACTCAATTTATATAAACAGTGGTGACTAGCAACTCGATGAACACAAAACACAACGTAACAGTACCGCGAAATGGTTATAGGTTTTTTGTGTGTGGCTTTGCACTATAGGATATGAATAAACACAAATATATGAAGTAGATTAATCAAGGATAACGATGTGGATGACGGCAAGACCTACTGTGTCAATCCGAAGCTCTGATACCACATGATAGGTACTGAAACTATTTCAGTACGGGAGTTGGCCCGATCTTCACGACAGTAGGTCTCAATCAAGATAACTTGCAACAAGGCAGCGGGAAGCAAAGGTAACTTGCTGAAGAACAGCGGAGTAACTAGCTTTATACCTGGCCAAGGTTGGATGTGACCAAGCGACGGGGAGAGAGACATCGAAACCACTAAGACTTCGACTCGATCTCCGAACGACTACAGAACCACAACCGGAGTTAATCCACACAAGGCGGGGCAGCCGTACTGGAACCCGCAAAGCACGAACTAGTGGATCCCAGAGGAATCTCTTCACAAGTCTAGGAAAAACAAGGAAGAACAAGGGTTTGAGTAAGCACTCGGCAGCTCGGCTGCAATATCACTGGAATTATCAAATCATCAAAAAGTCATTTTCTAGTAGCCTAGAGGTGGTATTTATACTATGAGAAGTCTCTAAGATAGATGTGAACTGAAGAAGCCACGTTGGGAGGTGGAAGGACAACTGGCTAGAGCATTCACGAGGTGGTCTTCAGTTCCCACGCGTCTTCTGGGCTTCTGTGCAATTTTCAATATTTTGGTCATAACTCCTTCCTGGAAAATCCAAATGATGAACCGTTGGATGCGTGGGAAAGCTAACTTCATCATCTTCCCAACCATGTATGCTATGCACCACGAATTATTGTAGAATGGTACAGTTTTGCACAGGATCTTTAGCTTCATGCAGACTGTTGAGCTTCGGAGCAGTCTTCACTAAAACTGGTCGGACGCCACGCTGGACACTCCAAACTGGTCGGACATGACAGCATTGGAAACTAGGCTTCAAGATCTTTCCAACAAGTGCTCATTCACCTTCATAGCTTTTGGGAGACAAAAGATATGATTGTTTCTTCTAGATGGTTCTGTCATGCTGAATTGACTCGAACGTAGCTCTTCTTTCTGATCCATCCTTGATGTATCCTTGTCTTCCTCCTCGGAGAACCTGAGTAATAACAACATGCACGACTGAGGTAGCTTGAAATTACCATCAATGTTTAATTGAAATTCACAAAGTAGCGCGTGCACCTCTTGTTGTATCTTTTTGGCGCGGCTACGGGTGATGGGCCAGTAAGGACTTGGAGTGGTGTATCAGCTGGTGAGGTGGTCGGAGAGGTTGCCGAGGTCGGTGAAGTGGTCGGAGAGGTCACCGAGGTGGTCGGAGAGATCGCCGAGGTGGTCGGAGAGGTCGCCGAGGTGGTCGGAGAGATCGCCGAGGTGGTCGGAGAGGTCGTCGAGGTCGGTGAAGTGGTCGGAGAGGTCCCCGACGCTGGCGTGGTCACATCAGCTTCCAACGGCTAGTTCAATGGTCATCTCAGGAAGGGCATCGAAGTCTGACATATTTAGTCCGATGGTCAGTGTCGGGGCATCCGATGCGTACGCAGAAAGTGTGTACTAGTTCCGAACGGCTCTATTCATTGGGGAGGCTATTTATACCCCCATGGCCAGCCATTTGGAGTGTGTTGGAGTGTGCTGAAGATATAGGAGCATTGAGACACCCCACCAAATTCTCTAACCACCACAAGTGCTTAAGAGAAGATTAGGTGATTAGTATAAGTGCTTTGCGAAGTGCTTAGATTAGTTAGACCCACTTAATTGCACTTGCTCTAGGTTTAGGCCTAGTGTTGTGAGTTTTGCATACCTCTTGCTCATAAGGTGCTTGCACGCACCGTTGTTGTACTCGGAGGGGCTTGTAGTCTTGCCAGACCACACCAACCACGTTTGTAGGTGTGGCTGCCACCGAGTACCAGAGGGAACGACGCCCGCGCCGGTTTGACTGGAAGCTCGATAGTGAAGACGATGGGGAACGATCCGGGAGAGGCCACCTCGGAGACCCACTTTACGTGTAGGGAAGTCCCGGTGGCACCATAGAGTTATCCGACCAAGAGCTTGGCCCTTGTGAGGGGCTCCAACGTGGACTAGGGAGAGCTTGTGTGCTTTTCGATACCTCGGTAAAAATACCGGTGTCGTCAAACAGGAGTTTGCACTCTATTGCCCTTTACCTTCCGCATTTATATTATGTACCTTGGTTGTGTGCTTTATCTTGCTAGCTTAGTTGATTGGCTAGTTGATAGGATTGGAACATAGGTTGTATAACTCTTTTACGGTAGAGATAGTAACACACCTAGCAAAACCTTAGTTGCACATCTAGATAGTTTACTTCTTGCATAGGTTTTGGCTAGGTTGTTTTAGGGGTTACAAACAAATTTTAAGTCGCCTAATTCACACCCTCCTCTTTTAGGCGTCGCGATCCCTAAAGCTAGCAATGAAGAAATCAACAAAAACGATGAAGATGTTGCTTTAGTAAGCTCACTTTTGTCAGCTATTTAATCGCATCTAATTGAGGGTTACAGTAGCTATAGCTAGGAGACAAAAAGGACTCCGAGTCTCAGATACATACATGCATGATTACAAGCATGGTATGGTATTGGTATGTGCATACATCACATGTATATATATTCACATCAATGTAGGTGTTGTTTGCAGCTTGTACATATGACACGAGGACAATGTGAACTGCAAGTTACTTAAAGGTGCACTAAAATGAATGTGATGGATCTTACTACTCCTGCTGCTGCTGCGGGTTCTGGTAGTTTAATAGCAAGTGCTCTTGTTAGTAGGGGAGTGCGACCGTGAGAAGACAAGTACAAGGAACCAAACCCCTTCTTGGGCCGAGAAGAGGCCAGCTGCAGCAGCTGCTGTTAGTAGTAGATGCACTACTAGTGCTGTGTTAGCTCGGTCGGCAAAGCAAAGCCAGATTATGTATATATATCAGTCAGCCAACCCAATTCATCAAACGAATGAAAGGGACTCTTGTGATGTGTACCTGAACTGAAGGTAAATGAAATGAAACGAGTTGAATTAAATAAATACATCGGCGGGAAATCACAGAGAACTCCCGCAGCAGTAGACAGTGTGGTGTTGCAAATTTCCTACCGCAGCTGTAGCCTTGGCGAGCAAGGCTTCCCTACCTAAAACTAAAAACGACATGGCAGCTGCAAACGCAGCACCTCCCGAAGGCCATTATAAGCATGCGCTGCCCTGTCATTCCATGCACACTGGACACTGCCAGAGTCTCTTCCCCCTCCTCTGTACATCGTCCATCTCTGATGTCTCTGAATCCGATTGATAGAGGACACAAAGGCATGGCGATGCCGTGCCGTCTCGTCCGGCTTCTCCTGACAGCCAGCTGCATCCTGCTTCAGGCCCTCGGCGCCCACGCCATTACCCGCCATTACAAGTTCAACGTGAGGACCACATGCATCCCACAGCTTAGCTTACCTTACCATCATCACTTTCTTGTGCTGCACACAGAACTTCCGCATGTCATTGATAATATATGAAAGCAGTACCACAACACTAGTTATGTTACCTCACATACAACGGTCAGCCAGTTTACCACCACCGAGGGTACAGGGCTTCTCCGTAGGTACTGCAGAAACTTCCGACAATAGTCAGGCCATTCCATATTGCACAACTTAAGGTTGATCAGGACAAGAAAAATGCTTCCGTAGCAAAAACATGAGAGCATATCACCAGCCAGGCAGTGACAGATCATCTCACTGATAGCATGGTTTGATTTTGTACAGGTAGTTATGAGGAACATGACACGGCTTTGCTCGACCAAGCCCATCCTCACTGTGAATGGCAAGTTCCCAGGACTAACCCTTTATGCAAGAGAGGGCGATAATGTTCTTGTCAAGGTCGTCAATCATGCAACTCACAATGTCACCATCCACTGGTAAGCATCCCATGTTCACTCCATGGCTCGATCACAAATTTGTAAAGAATTTTTTTTCTGCAGGACACTACTCTCGTGAAATTGGCTGTGGGGCAATGAAATTTATTTTCCTCGCTGTAGGACACTAATTTATTTGCTGTAGGAGTAGGACACCACCCAGCATACCTGGAGCAAAGAAAAAAAAGTACAATGTCCCACAACCAATACCACGAACGACCACCTTCACCCCTGAAATGAATATCCCTGCTCTGTTTTCTACAACCAACCAAAAGGAACAAGTCATATCCGTTAAAGTAGTACAAACATAAAACGGCAAAAAAAAATGTACAAACATAGCTCTATACCTGCATTTCCCTTAATCGAAGATGCATCCATTTCTTTCAATGACAAACAAAAATGATCTAGTTGTTGCTCACATTTATGCAACATACACATGTATAGCTTGCTAATTGGGTCATATGTAACTATTAATCAGGCATGGGGTAAGGCAGATCCGGACAGGGTGGTCCGATGGACCAGCATACATCACACAGTGTCCAATCCAGCCGGGCAGCAGCTTCCTGTATAACTTCACTATTACTGGTCAAAGGGGTACGCTCCTCTGGCATGCCCACATCAACTGGCTGAGGGCTACCGTCCATGGTGCCATCGTCATCCTCCCCAAGCTTGGTGTGCCCTATCCCTTTCCCACTCCTCACAAGGAGGTCGTTGTTGTGTTAGGTATCTGAATGGTCTATCATCCCCGTTCATAATCTAGCATACCACATTTTTTTTGAGGGAAATAGCATACCACACTTACCGATGAGCAGTAATTCTTTGTGATGTTTTGCAGGAGAATGGTGGAAAGCAGACACAGAAGTGGTCATCAACCAGGCTATGCAACAAGGAGTAGGACCTAATGTTTCCGATTCACACACCATCAATGGCCACCCTGGTCCACTGTCTGATTGTGCCTCCTTGCAAGGTATGTGAAAGTACTATAACTTATCCAAGAGCGTGTTCACCTTCAGCCAAACCTAGAATTCAAGAAAGCTTTCTTGATGTGTTCAAAATTAACTGGACAGATGGATTCAAGCTGAATGTAGAAAATGGCAAGACATACATGCTCCGAATCATCAACGCTGCTCTGAATGATGACCTCTTCTTCAAGATTGCCGGGCACAAATTCACTGTGGTAGAGGTTGATGCAGTCTATACCAAGCCATTTAAAACTGGAACCCTGCTCGTCACTCCAGGCCAGACCACCAATGTCCTCCTCACTGCTGATCAAAGTGCTGGCCGCTACCTTTTCTCAGTTTCTCCATTCATGGATGCCCCCGTGCAAGTTGACAACAAAACAGGCACAGCTACCTTGCACTATGCTAACACTATCTCTGCCACAGCAACACTGACTCTCATCAAGCCACCACCACAAAATGCCACCACTATTGTCTCAAAATTTGCTGAGTCTCTCCGTAGCCTCAATTCCAAGGAGTACCCAGCCAATGTGCCACAGACAGTAGATCACTCTCTTTTCTTTACCGTTGGCGTGGGTGTCAATCCATGTGCAAAATGCATTAATGCGACAAGGTTGGTTGGAACAATCAACAATGTGACATTCATTATGCCATCCACCCCAATTCTCCAAGCCCATTATTATGACATTCCAGGGGTGTTCACTGATGATTTTCCAGCAGCGCCACTACACAAGTTCAACTATACAGGAAGTGGCCCCAAAAACCTTCAAACTATGAACGGAACAAGGATTTATAGGCTGCCATACAATGCTTCTGTTCAGATTGTACTCCAGGATACAGGGATCATATCACCTGAAAGCCACCCAATCCATTTGCATGGCTATAACTTTTTCGTGGTTGGAAGGGGGATTGGGAACTACAACCCCAAAACCTCTCCATCCATGTTTAACCTCATTGACCCTATTGAGAGAAACACCATTGGAGTTCCTACCGGAGGTTGGACAGCAATCAGATTTAGGGCGGACAACCCAGGTGAAGACTCCTAAATTCCAACTTACAATTCACAGATTAAAGGTTATTTCTTTTTCATAGCATGACTTGCTTGAGTTGTTCTGTTCCAGGTGCTTGGTTTATGCATTGCCATTTTGAGGTGCACACATCATGGGGACTAAAGATGGTCTTTGTGGTGGACAATGGCAAAAGACCTAATGAGACTCTTATAGCACCACCCAAGGATCTTCCTCAGTGCTAAGAACAAGTGCTTGAAGACTATCTCAGAGGAGCAAAGCCGATTACAAGAGTAATTAGTTTTGGTCCAATATACAGAAAGCAAATGAAGTCATGAAACTTAGATTAGCGGTGAACTGGTGATCTGTATCTGCAAACTTGATCAGTGTGCTTTTGCTTAGCTCCTTCTGCTGCACATTTTCTTTCACCTTTTGTTTTTGTTCTTTGGATTGTTTGAAAAGATATTGTATCCAAGATATTTAGGTTCCAACTAGCTTTTGCTACCACCAATTATTTTTTCCCTTGTCCTTAATATGTGAATATTTAAGATGGCATGCCCCCACGAATTTGAACTTTTGCCTGAGAATTAGAGTAAGCTTAGTCGCTCCAGGATTCGTGCTCTTAAAAAAAGCCAAAATACAATTGATCTTTGAAAGCTGGAATAATGGATGGCGGAGGTTGTTAACTTCACTTAAGCAATAGGATACGGGAAAAAACATGTCATCACCATTCTTAAAAAGTTTGTGCCAGTCTTCAAACCTGGACTGGTGACATGGGTTTCTCGACACCCAGACTTCAACGGTCTAACCAGTGTAACTCAGGAGAGGTTGGTGTGGTAGTCTTTAGAAACATTTAAAGAGAAAAAGGCAAGAATGGTTTTAACATCGAAGTAGTTCTTGAATGAAATGAACTTATTAAAATAAAAACTAATGAAGTAAAAAGTTTTTCCATTTGTTAAACAATATGGCAAAATAAATGAGGTTTCAGGAAAAAACAACACTTAAGTCCAAAAAAGAGAAGTAAACAAGAATTGTCTGAATGTATGTTAGAGGCAAGTAGGCTGGTAGGGATATGCACGCCACTAAGCAGGTGATCCAATGTTTGAACTTGAATAGATGGATTGCAAAATCTCTAAATAAGCATGTTGATTGTACAGTTACTGTTAGCAATAGGAAACTCGGGCATGCACCTGACAATGGGATAACAGCTACTGTGTGAAACTTGACCAATATCTAATAAACATACATTGTTCCTGGGATGATAAAGCAACCAAGCACTGATAACTTCCAGGAACTCATTTCAGGATACTAGGCACAACAATTCAGTTGCCTGAGCAGAAGCATGGTGAAACATGAGTACCTCTGAGAAACATCTGTATCCAGTAGCACATACGTATATCCCTTTGCCTGAAACCAATTCTTCTTTGTGAGGGTCAAGAGAATTAATAGCTATGCGGATGCAGTTTAACAAAGGAAATAAATCAAGATGGATTTCAGTTGGGAACTTAATAAGATTTTATTACGAGCTGAATAACCTCAAGCCAAGGTATGGCAATTGTTGAATCAGCTGGCGGGGAGAAAATTGCAATTATAGGACGCGAAACAATGCGCTTCGTTATTATAGGACTCCAAACATCGACTTCGCTAAAACAACCCTTAAAACGTTGGCACTTTGTTATACATAACATTTGGTCTTTTTAATCACTTTTCTCAACTAAAATACATGTATTTTGCCATGATGTGACCGTATTGCCCTCAAGGCTTCAATTGACGTGGGATGGGGCTGCTGGCCGCTCGCCTATAATTGCAATTTTCTCTGCCACGTCTGGTTGCAGGAAGAGAAGACTGAAAGCCATGACCTTGTGTTTGCCTTTGTCCTGCACAGTGCAGATAACTCGAAACGATTCCTCCTCGTCGTTCTCACCGGTTGGAGCCAGAACGGGTAACAGATGCCGCGGCGTACCATTGTCTGGGATGGAGGCCGCCAGTAGGTCGTCGGGTATGCGTGGAATCTTGACGTATGTACAGGCAGTTGACATATGTACAGGCAGTAACCTATAGCAGTGACGCTGAATCACACACCACAGTACATGTTCTACATTACAAGCACAAGAGAGGGGCCCTTGCATCGCACAACATAGTTCGTTTTGATGATACACAAATAGAGGGCTCTGCAGAAAAGGAAACAATTACAGGACTGAAACAAGCACCTTGATAGTTATGCATGCTGGGGTGATCAGGAATGAAAGAGCTGGGAACTGGGGGTCATTGTATGCATTCGGACAAGATGACTCAATCCGATCATGGCTCAATCTTTCAGCTGCTGCCCTATCTAACAATTCAAAGAAAATCGTGAGTATCGGTACCATCAAATCCTGTATGTTTGCAGCATAAGAAGAGAAGTAACCAGTATTCCCTAACCATGAACAGATGCGAGGCGAACAGAACAGTTTGGCTGTTCACTGGGCATATAGGATGGACCAGCACCAATACTAGTATATTTATCCACATGAATTGGGTTAGGAGTTGTCTGTCATTACATGATCCTCGGGAAAGCTTATCCGGTTTAGCATAAGCCCCCTTTTTCAGCTGGTCCACTAACTCCTGCAGCCAAACACACACTACTGCGTTCACTTCGATGAAGAAAGTGGCAACCGAGTCTAAATATGTTCACATGAAAACTTGTACCTGTTGAGCAAAACTAAAGTTATCTCGTCAGAGTGTAAGGACCACCAAAAATTCTGCCCCTACAAGACAATGCACACACAATTGAAGAAAAGCTTCACGTTTTTCTCTGTGCAAAAAAGTAGTTTCAGCTTGTGCCTGCCTCCGAGAGAGCACTCTCTAGCATGCTTTGTCATTTTCTTCCAGGGCTTGTGTTCCATGTTTACCCTGAGAATCTACATACCGAGGAATGGCGATGATGTCATGTAAATAAACTGACTGAGAGTTATGAAAGAAAATGTTTGGGATTTGATAAAATAAATGTTGAGTTTACTTTGGCAAGGTTACGAGGGTCCTTATTTAAAGCCTTTAAAAAGTCTTCCACAGTAAAGATGTTCTCCTTCTCCAGCCTTTCTGCGTAAACTTTGGCAATCTCCTCCAAACGATGCACGCTATCATTTAGTTTTGGAGGATGACTCTTTTCATTTGCTGTAAAAAGAAAGGAAAATGAGAAAAACTTGCTGTTAGCTTGTCACACATCAACCAAGAACAATTGAATGCATGCTATGAATCTTGGACCATAGCTGTATGTCATAAATGGTCTTTCAACTTTGCCAAGTAATAAAAAGAAATATGGATGGCAACAAACCTACATTTGTTTCTGCGATCCTGCACAACCACAGGGTTCATGACGGCTTGTTGAATCTGAAGACCAGATACCTCACCCTCACAAACTCTTGCCCCAATGATGAACTTCCCGCCGCGAGCCTTGCACGACCCTTCTGTGAATTTGATGCTACCAAGATCGCACTGTCCATTCTTAAGCTGGGCTTTTGTTCCTTCACCTCCCAATACATTTCCGTTTCCATCCCGAGAATTGGCTCTATGTTTATTGAACTTTTTAGGAGTCCAACTCTTTGGGGAAGCATGAGGAAAGTCACCCTCAAGCACGAAGATCTCAATTTGCAGGTTTGAAAGCCCGCCCGATTCGATCATCTTGTCCCCATTAAATATGCCAACCTTAATGGCTGTATTGCTCTCAGATTTTATCTCATCGTCATGGCAACCAGACATGGCAGAGAAAATTGTAATTATAGGCGAGTGGCCAGCAGCCCCATCCCACGTCAATTGAAGCCCCGAGGGCAATACGGTCACATCATGGCAAAATACATATATTTTAGTTGAGAAAAGTGATTAAAAAGACCAAATATCATGTATAACAAAGTGCCAATGTTTCAAGGGTCGTTTTAGCGAAGTCGATGTTTGGAGTCCTATAATAGCGAAGCGCATTGTTTCGCGTCCTATAATTGCAATTTTCTCGCTGGCGGGGATCTTGAGGTGCTGCAAAAGAAGCTTCCTTTTGGAAGAGGCTGAAACAATACTGTTGGCATGCGGTGAAGACATGAACTTTGGGGGAAAATAAAGTAAATCACATGGTAACATAAGCACTTGTTACCATCCCTGCAGTAGGGCGAGAGGAGGCGGCGGAGAAGCCGGACGTGGCTGCGGGCGCGAAGGAGGAGAGGACCATGCGGCGGCGCTTGAGGCAGTCGCCACTCGCCAGGAGGAAGGGGCTTGGCCTTGGGAGTGAAGCGATAACAGTGAGGCAGGGTGAGGCGATGGCCGACGGGTACCTGGTTGGTAGTGGTGGCGGCGGTGTCCGGGCCGGCCGGCAGAGGAGATAGGAGAGGATGCGGCGGCGCCATGTCCAGGAGCGCCGGCAGGCCCTCGCCCTTCGAAATGGGCCACTACCGGCCCAATTGGCCGCAGAATAGCTACCGGAGCCGGTCCAGAAGCTCTACCAAACGCCTCCCTAATTTCTTCGGGGGAATTCCTGATGTGCCATTAAAAAAGATCGCAATGCTCTGTGTATCTCTAAAAAAGTTCAGTGGTCTTCAGCGTCACTGCTCCAACTTTTTTGTGCCCTCCATGCCACTGCCGTCAGTTTGGGCTCTAACGCCGTCAACCGCAGGTGTGAAAAGTCAAAAATACCCTTAAGTCTAAATATGTCATTAATTTTTTTGAGCATCTTAACGACTTCAAATGAAAAAACTCAAAACTAGAAAGTTGTAGATCTCGTCAAGATCTATATTTTTCATATAAAAATTATCTTTATTTAATTCCACAAAAAAAATAATTTTTCTAAGATATATTAATCATATCAAATCATTTTTTTTGCGGAATTAAAAATTATAGATCTCGACGAGATCTACAACTTTCTAGTTTTGAGTTTTTTCATTTGAAGTCGTTAAGATGCTCAAAAAATGAATGACATATTTAGACTTAAGGGTATTTTTGACTTTTCACACCTGCAGCTTGACGGCGTTAGAGCCCAAACTGACGGCAGTGGCATGGAGGGCACAAAAAAGTTGGAGCAGTGGCGCTGAAGATCGCTGAACTTTTCAGGGACACACAGGGCATTGCGATCTTTTTTAACGGCACACAGGGAATTCCCCCAATTTCTTCGCCCTCTCCTCTCTCTCTCGGAAAGACGGCGGCAGTCGGGTGGAGCACAACGCAACGCAGGTGAGGACACCGCCGATGCGTGTCCGAGCTAAGCCCCTTGTTCCCTCTCACAGCTTCTCCCTTTGCTTACCACACAGGGTCATGTGTCACGGCGGCGCGTGAGGGGTCATGGAAGAGATTCCGGATGTGGTAGATTCAGCGGCCATGAGCCGGCGAGGTTCCAACGGAGGGTGGCTCAACACAGGCAAATGTCCACAACGGCTTCACTTCCCCTGGATCCTACGAGGTGAGCCTCTGCTCCTCTAGTCGTCCCCACGCTTGTCTATTGTGGGATCCAGCAAGGTGAGCCCCTGCTCCTCCCCACGCTGGTCCATGGGGTTGCAGCCACGACTTGCCCATGGAGGAAGATGCCAGGATCCGGCGGATCCATGACATGGAGGTACCACAACCCCCTACAATGTTTCCTTATTCAATAATTAAGTATCTGGCCATATACATATACGTGAGGGAAAAGTTAAATAATGTACCACCTAAAAGCTTGCTTATTGTCTTAATATGCCTTGTTTGAAAAGGCCAGATGTGCAAAATATGGAGATAGTTGCAAGTATTTTTATTATTTGAATAGATAATGCCTTTCTCAACTAATTTTTTGATCTAATTTGTTATGCTATCTCCCACGGATGCAGACAACTCTATTATCTAATTACTCACAAGCTGACACAATAAAGAGATGACACCATCTGATATGCCTCAGGAAAAGAAAATAACATGGTAAGATTAGCATCTTAATTTTTTCTCTAGTTCTTCTGCTTAATGTTGTCATCTCTTTATTGTTACAATTAATCTATTCTGTGCTTGTTACAATTAATCTGTCTGCTACGCCAGTAGAGACTGTTATCATGCATATATGGAAGCAGGAATCATGGTTTTTAATTGTTCTTACATTTTTTTGGCTTCACATTTATTCACTCTAGCTTTATGCTTTAAGTTTGATTGCTACTAGGTAATATTGCTACACAGATTGATGTGGCCGGTTTTCATCCAGACTTAGTAGTACAGTAGAAAACCCTAGGTGGCGTTGCCGCGCCGGCTTGATGAATAGTTCTATGTATGGGGTTAGTACTGTTGCAGTTTAAGATTTTAGTCCACAACTCTGTTGTTGGATAAAAATGTAAGCAAAATGTTCAAATTATTTCAAAATTTGTAATCTATGTTAAGATGTATTCACTGGTGCTTTAAGAGTTATATTTATCGACATTGCTACAATTTGATGAGCTTATGGTAATTTGATGAGCTTATGGCATCTCAATGCAGTTTGAGAAGCTTTGTAGATACTGCATATGATCTTACATGAATCCTCCTAACTGAAGCCTACATATTCACAGTTTTTTAGTTGAAAAAGGAGTGGTCTTCATCATCCTCAGAGTATTCAATCTGTCATTTTCACAAATAATTAGTGTTAGGCTCTGATGGAAATTGAGCTAAAATTGTGGCCCAGGATACTCTGTGCCATTCGCGAGACTGGCATTCTTCAGAGCTAATGTTTTAACAAACTTGCTTGTAAACCTTGGTGAGACATAGTGTTTTGTTATTCAGCAAGACGTCCACCTTGTACATAAATGCTTTTGGTTTTAAAGCATTCTCCTAGTTTCTAGACTGTTCAAGACCTCTAGTGATCAAAATTGTTGATAGAGCTTGTGTTCAATATAATTCTATGCCAAACAAAGCGCCATAGGAACTGAGATAGCGAAATAAATCTGCAGGCTGTCTTAGTAGCAGTGTAGTGAAGAATTGCTGAAGAGTTCAGAATTTAAAGGTTTGTACAACATGGCAAAAAAACATGATTCAAAGTTCAATTTTGCAGAACACCTTCTTTTGCCCAAAAAAGGAGCAATATTTCATAAATATTTATGTCTGTTGTTGTTGCTTTTGTATATTTCTAATTTCTAATTGATGTGAACCTGAATAAAATATGAAACTTTAAGTTTTATGGATTTTTAAATGCCAATAAAAGTGTACAGGTAAATTTAGACCGGGATTTAATCACTGGTGCCCTGCAAAAATCCATATAGTAGTTGTATAAAGGTGATAGTGTCCCCAAATTGGATCTCCTTGGGTTACTAAAACTTGTGGCCTAATATCTGGTTGTGACGCTTTATGATCGTTCAGTGGATTATCATCCATAATTCCGACCCCATTTTATCCAGCAAAATATCAATTTATATAGAAGCCTTTATGTCTGTACCAATTAAATGAAGTTGCTTCACCTTCATACCTTTTCAAAATTATAGGGTTGCTTTTATGTTGATCTAGGATGTGCAACAAGTAGTTTAAGACATTTAGTCGAACAGGCTGGGTGCACTGAGCTTTACATGACATTTTTGCAGCTTGTCTTGCTTCCTCAACCCTTGATTTAGAAAGCGTGAGGGCAGCACTGCAGCAGGGACAGGAAGAGACGCAGGGTCTTCCTGCTCGTCTAACCGACGCCGTCCACTGTGTCTGCCTCGTATGGCTTCGCTACCCGGCGCTCTTCCGTCCGTTTGCAACTCGTTGCAGCAACCTCACCCAGACCCAATCCGGGCCACCGAGCAGCCCTGCGCGCGGGAGGGGAGCAGCACCACGACTGCCTCGACGGAAGCGCTGACGACGCTTGTTCCATGGTCGTCGCGACGGACAGGCCGCCCTGCGAGCTGCCTTGTCCTCGTCCAGGCTTGTGAGGCGTCCGCTGTGTTCGAGGTCACGGCACACCATGCACGACGCTCGAGCTTGAGCATGAGGTGTCCGCGTTGTGAGGACAGGCTGCGAAGGACGGAGAGGCGATGGCTTTGCTTCAGCGATGGACGCGAGGAATCTGGAAGGAATTGGAAACGCTAGCTCATATACCCACTTTTCGGTGGTCCGATGAAAATCCCACGGCTGAGAAGAAGCAGGTGACGTGGCTCAATACATTGCCAGAGCTTGCACCCTGGATTCGTTATGAAGAGATTCTGCTCCATCTTTGATGAATACTGTTTTGTTTCTCTAAACTATAGTACTCATGATCGTTAAGGCGTTCATTGGCACAAGTACAATTTCTATATATTTTAAGCGTAAGTCCTAAGTCTTTTTCTTTCTCTTTGTGTTCTTCTCTTACTTCAAGGATGACCACAATGCAGCCCTCTAAGAAAATGACTTTGTGTTGCCTCTATGTTGTGTCTAGATTGGCAGAAGTAGAAAATGCTTTTAGATTGTTTAAGCCAATTTGGGATCTAGATTTTTTTGTCTTAACTATGTTTTAGAGCATCTTCAAGAGTTTTCTATTTGCCTTCCTAATACTTGATTTTTAGGAAAATAAGAAAAAATCTCTCTCCAACCGGTCCTAATCCATCCTCCTAATATTTAGGCACTTGGGAAAACTGAGTCAGTTCCACGTAACTTTACGCGGCTCTCGAGTCGCGCGGATCCTTCTCCCGCGCGGTTTCCGCCTTCGCGCCTTGGAGTCGTGCGCTTTTCTCCGGTCCTTCCCGCCGCATCGCTTCCCTCCCGCACCGCCGACGCTTCCATTCAGCGCTGCCGCCGCTCCCGTCCCACACCGCCGCTTCTCACGTCGCGCAGCGCTGCTGTCCCCC